TTTTTAATAAAAATGTCTTCTATCTTCGGAGACACAGTTTACGAAGAGTGGAAATAAGAGAGGGCTTTGTGTGTATGTATTTTTTCTGCGTGAATTTCCTGCAAGTGATCAGTGATAGAAGAACCGAATCTTATTCGAGTCTGGAAGAATGCAGTATATTTAAGAAATACATACAGTCCCTACTTGGGTTGAAGATAACAAATGGAGAATATTTGTGGGGGAAAGCAAGGTTTGTCTGAATGACGTTTAACCCTGGAGAACTACGATATATTCTTCCATTTCCAGCAGAAAAGTCAGTCTGTTTGCCTAGGAGGAAAGTGCGAAAATATTCTCTAATATGTGGTTCTTTGTTTTAAATGTGCCACAACTGGCAGCATTTTATTTCAGATTCTGACAATTACAGATCCCTAGCAGAGAAAAAGATGGTTTCTATTATTTCTTTTCTATTAAAATTCTACATATTTTAAGAGGGGGACCAAACGGAGCCATTTCAGCACCTAAACAACCGGACAGCGTCTTCGGAAAAAGGGAGGAAAAAACCGATTTTTTTTTCACTGCACTTGAAAAGGATTTGAAGTCTCTTTTTTTTTTTTTCCTCTCCCTCTTCTTGAATTTCCAGCAGATTTCTGCGAAATATTGATTAATTGGCACGGAGGAGGCTGTTGTGAGCCGTTCGTGGTCAAAAGATCTCCAAAAGAAAAGCCAACTTGTGTTTAATGATTGCTCGCTCCTGAACGTCCTTTCTAAATTCTGAGTTAATTTAGAATGGAATGGACTTTCTACCTCCAACTTCATTCCCATTTTAGATTGATCTTCCATCTAATTATCATTATTATTATTATTTTTACCAAAGGAATCTCCACTTCTGGTCATTCAGATTGCTGTGAAAGCCTCAGCAGTTTCCTTGCACGCAGAGGGTAGTATATATTTAATGAATATTGCAAGAATTGGAATTAGATTTTGGTTCTCTCTGGCCAGAATTCTTCAGTTTCTACCATTCTTGTGCCAAGATGCTTACAAATTAATTAAAAGATGCAGAAAGCAATGGAGGAACAAGAAGGGGGTATCCCGTTTCTCTGAATCAGGCTCAAATATTTGGGTTATTTACGGTATATAAAATGCTCTTTCTTTTCTTTTTTTTAATGTCAGGTTATCCCCTATATGTACATACACACAAATACACTATGGAATCCTTAGAAGGAAATAAATTCATTTTAAAAAAAAGATGCAGAGTCTTTTGACACAACAAATAGCATCGTGGTAAGCGGACCTAACAGTAATTAAGTGGGCAGTGAGGTGGTGGTACATTAATAATAATAATAAAAAAAAACCTTGAACATAAAGCTTTGAATGTTGGCCAATATTTTAAGGTAGAGTTTACAGCGTCATAGTGATTTGGGCCTAAATGAGTCTCAAAGCTGAGTACTCTTAACATTTAATACCTCTTTGTCACAAGCTTTTATATATAAATATAAAATTGCAAAGAGGAAGCTGGTTACAAAAATAGCCATGTTTAGACAGAGTGTTGCTTTTCAAGCAGCTAGTCCTCAGTTTTAACTATCAAAAAATGCTGACGCTACCACATCCTGGAGTGATTCCAAATGCCCCCCCCTCCGAACCCTCATTTCTCTCTTGATAATGCATTTGAGTTTAATTGAGAAGATATCTGTGGATTATTTTTATTTGGCCCACCTCGTCCAAAAGCAAAGTCTGCTTTTAGGATTTAATGGCTCAGAAATTCACATGATGAATATTTAAAGAGTTTGTGCTTGTTTTTCCACTTTGATTTAGCTATTATGTTTCTGTGGTTTTCTGTATTTTTCTGCTGCTAGCTTGCCATGAACTCACTCCATTCCTGCGGCGGGAGCCACCTTAAGAAGGCAGTAGATAAATACTAAAAATACGTAAAATGAGCAAGAATTTAAACAACCTTCTCAAATCCCTGCTCTTTTTCAAAGCAGAGATAGTAACTGTGTCTCAGAAGGTGATGCTTGCCTCATTGGGCCACAAAAAAGGACATTTTTTTTTCACGTCTAAGCCACCTCAAAATACATAAATAATTTGGAAAGCATTAATTTGGAATTTAACAAAACATCCTCATGAAATCAAAAACAAGAGATTGACTGCCCACCAACAACATTGCAACCATCTCCTCTTAAGAGGCGTTTATGCACAAACATTTTTGGAGACCATCTTTGCTCAAAGCTGGAGCAGAGTATTCGTTTAACCAAGAGCTTTGTGTAACCAGAAAGTCGCCAACTTCCCATTGTTTGGCTGGTGTGCATGTCTGTATGTTCTTAAAGAGGGGGGGGCGTTAAGAGGAAAGCTGACAAAAGCTGTGATTGTTCATTGACTTGATAAAAAGGTTTGAAATTCATAGACAGCCGCAGCTTTGCAAAAGAGGTGGGGAATTCGTTCCGACTGCGGTGTTTTGTGTAACTCTGAAGACTGCAACCTGAAGTGGTTAGGCTCTCCTGATGGTTTTGTTTTCAACAATTGGGGTCCTCGGCAACTTCTTGTTCCTTTCCTTGTTTCATAAAAAGTGTCTAGCTGTCCTTTCCTTCCGTACTGGGGCCCCATTTTCCAGTTTTGTGCAATGAACAAAGCATAAAAAGACCTCTGAGGGGGCTCACCTGTACTCACCTGTACTCACCTGTGTGAGCATGGGCAGCTGCAGGCCAGAAGGAGTTGTAGGGAGGCTGCTCTTCTCTAATTGTGAAAATCCAGCCCCTTGAACCGTGTCCAAAAACTAAGAGATGTTAGAGGGCATCTTAGAAGTCCTGCCTTGGACCTCTGTTGATTTTCATGGAGGCCTCAATCCTGCCCAAATCCTCCAGCAGTTGGAGAGAAGGATTTCTTTTGCAAAAAAAAAAAAAAAAATCCAGATTTGAAATCCCCTTCTTGCCGGATCTGTTGCTGGCCAAAATTGGAAGGAAGATCTGGACTTCTGCTCATCAGATCTTAAATTATCCATACGGGATTGATTATCAACAGAGAAAATGGGGGTCATTTGTCCATTTCTTACTCAACCCTTGATGGTCTTTGGGGGGGGGATCTAGAAGTTTAATAATTCACCAAGAAGGAAGTCCTCAAATAGCGTTGGTGGCCAAGATGATTATTTGGCCAGGAAAATTAGGATTTGGGTTATGGGAAGGAAAGAGCTTGCTGGCTGTAGGTGTCCCACTTCTTATGGGAAATTTTCTAAGTCCAATAAAGTTGTGGCAACACTGATGGGCAATATATATCCTTGTTATTTGCAAGGATTTTGTGGAGTGTTACAGCAAAGAAGTCCTCAGAAAAAGGTCTTTTTTTATCCCTTGCAAACATCATCATCATGAAATTATGAAGTAGTGATTTTAAGTAGAAATTGAAATAACAAGATGTCAGTTTCCCCCCCCCCCCTTTTTTTTTTCCCAATTTTGCTCACCAACCTTTGATCTTTTCAACCAAACAAGGCAAACTCTCCACACGGACAAAATTTAAATATATTTTCCCCTCAAGCTCCCATTTACGTACAAACAAAATCCAGGCTGGGACGCAGGTGAATGGCCCGGAAATAAATAAATAAGAACCAAGGAAAGGAAAATAAATTACTACAGAATCTTGAGAAATAAAATCAATATTGGTGGGCTGTTCTTTTTTTCTTTTTTCTTTTTTTTAGCCTTTGATTTTTTTCCCCCCCTTTTTTATTTTTTTATTTTTTTTTCAAACCTCATTCAGCACCCATTGTTCCCTGGAATTAGACTTACGGAGAAATCTGTTTTACCTTCTCTGACAGGGCAAGTCTCAGAATTAAATGAAATTCAGAATTTAAAAAGCGCAACGGTTAGCCGGATATAACTAACAGAAGGACGGTTAGTCACCGCAGCCAATTCCAAAAGCAACAACGATGGATCAGGACAACTTAATAGTGAAATTGGGATTAGACAGGCAACACCCACCCACCCCCGCACCCAGGCCAGACAGGCTGAAAAAAAATGATGCTAAATCTGGTGACTCTCTGGATGGGAGACCACGAGGTGATCCCACAGGTGTACCTTAAATAAAAGACGACAATGGCCAAGCAAGTCTGGATGGATGGAAATAACTAATCAGACTCCATTGTTAATCTCTGCCTTCTCCGCTACAAAGACCCCCTTCTCAATTAAAAACCTTTTGGGGCTTTTTAACACCAGTGTCCTGTTTTGGACCCACAGAGGAAGCTTCTTAAGGCAAATCCAGAGAGATGACAGATCCCTCACGGCATATCTTAAAAATGTCTGTTTTCTTTTGCTTGCACCCCCCGCACCCACCACCCAGCCCCCTTGTGCCTTTCCCACCCCCTGGCTCCAGGCTGGACTGGGTTAAATCCAATTGGCTCCTGATTGCAATCCGGCATATTTTTTAGGCTGGTGACGTGGAGAAAAAGGCAGGCGAGCAAAGGGTTTAGGCTGGTAGAATCGATACCAAAGCCTTCAGGGCTTGGAAGAAGCAAGGTTGGGAAGGAGGGAGTGGGGTGGGGGGGGAAGGCTGGACTGGAGAGGAGACCCACAGGAGAAAAAAAAAAAGAGGAGAGGGCTGAGACAGACCCACTGGCACACACACACACACACACACACAAAGAGGTTAGTTCAAGCTGGACGGACTTCAAGAAATCAAAATTAAATGGACATCAGCAGCAGGAGGAGGAGGAGGGAGGAGGAGGCAGGGAATTGATGCTTGCCCGCCCAGACGCTGCTGCTGCTACTATTTGTGGTGGGAAGATCTCAAAAGTGGGACTGTTTTGGGGCTGAGAGGGGGGACAAGCTCCTTTCTGCTTCGCTCTGGCCCCTCAGGGAAGGAGTTTGGGCTGGTCTCCTTCATCCCTTTCTCAAAGCCAGCCCTTCGAGCCGCTGAGACAGGTGGAAGAGACGGCGGCTAACGGCTCCTCTGGTACCCGAGAGAGTCAAAATAATCTTTCTTCTCTCTTTTTCTTTCTTTCTTTCTTTCTTTCTCTCACTCTCTCTCATCCTACCTGCCTCTCAAAGGATAACATGCAACAATAGGTAAGCTGCCTTTCTTTCTTTCTTTCTTTCTTTTTTTCGGGTGGGTGGGGAATTTGTGGTGTGAAGGGTTGGATTGTGAGCCAGGGGGAAAATTGTTTGGACTTTGGCAGGGAAAAAAGGGGCAACATTTCTCTCGTCTTTTTCTGTAAGGCTTCCTCTCCTAACCTGGGGAGGGGGGGTGTTTTGCATGCAAGGGAGGGGAGAGGGGGTTGAGGGGCAGGGTCAAGGAGTCTTTGGAGCCCACCGGTCTTGGGGAAGGATTTTTTTTAGAGGTTTCCCTGTTTGATGAGGGCATTTGCATCAAGGGAAGTTTGGCACAAATGCATGTTTAATTTGGCCGGATGAAATTTCAATGCATGAAAAGACAACGAGGAAGAAGAAGAGGAGAGGAGGGGGAGGAGGAAGAAGAGAAGGAGGGAGGAGGAGAGGAGGAAGAAGAAGAGGAAGAGGAGGAGAGGAGTGGGAGGAGGAAGAAGAGGAGGAGGGGGAGGAGAGGAGGAGGAGGAGGAAGAAGAGGAGGAGGTAGAAGATTGGGTGTCTTTTTCTCTTTCTTATCTCTCTCCCTTTGTCCCCAAAGTCTCCCCAAGGAAGTCAAGGAAGCGGATTAGCTTCCCAACCGGACCCTTCTCCATCTCAGCCTCTCCTTCTTCCTCCACCCACCCAACATCTAACCGCGGTTAAGGCTGGGCTGCCCCACCGAGAGGATGACAGCCTAGGAGGTGGAACCATGAACGTCCAGTTGAGCTTGGAGAATGGTGGGGAGATGGCCGTTCCTGAGCAGGATTTCATGCCGGGCGACGCGCGTCCCCTTCACTCAGCACTGCAGAGGTCCTCTCTGGTGGCTTCGGTGCTGGAAGGCGGCGATTGCCACCGGGCGGAACACACCTTGGGCACCACCCTGCACCCTGGGCTCGGCTTTGGGGGAGACTCGCCCACCTCCGGCACGGGGAACAGCTACACCACCCTGACTCCTTTGCAGCCCCTTCACGAGAAGTTCCACCACCAGAACCATCACCACCACCACCACCATCAATGCCTACCCATGGGCAACGTCATCGGGAGCTTCACCCTCATGAGGGAAGACCGAGGGCTGGGTGCCGGCGGGCATTTTTACAGCCCGTACCACCACAAAGATCTGGGCATGGGCCAGAGTTTGTCTTCGCTGTCCAGCCCGCAGCTGGTTCCCATGCACAATTACGCCGGACACTCGGTGGCTCCTCTGGCCAACGAGAAGATGGTGCTGGGCAACGGCTTCGAAGGCCACTCGGCCGCCATGTTTGGCCGGATGGACCAGCACTTCCAAAGAGAGATGTCTCCCACCCAAAACTCCACCATGGCGTCTCCCAACCCCATGAGTCAAAGCGGCTACGGCCACCCACGGCCAGAGATGAACTCTCGGCCCAACCCGCCCATCGCCAGCCAGACCACGGTCCTCTCCAGCCAGCTGGAGGAGATCAACACCCGAGAAGTGGCCCAGCGCATCATCGCCGAGCTCAAGCGCTACAGCATCCCCCAAGCCATCTTCGCGGAGCGGGTTCTCTGCCGGTCCCAGGGGACCCTGTCCGACCTCCTGAGGAACCCCAAGCCCTGGAGCAAACTCAAGTCCGGGAGGGAGACCTTCAAAAGGATGTGGAGGTGGCTTCAAGAGCCCGAATTTCAGAGGATGGCAGCTTTAAGGTTAGAAGGTAAGATAATATTTTCATAGCTGGGATCCAAGGGGGCGGAGGTAGGAACGAGGCAAGGGAGGTCAGGCGCCAAGGAGGACATCTGATGACCTTCAGATGTTGAGGTCTGGGGACCTGGTCCTGCTTCCCTAGACGCAAGACCCACTGCAGGCACCAAGACTGACTTCTGGGTAGACAATCTGGGCATCAGGCTGTGCTGTCCTTGGGCTTCCGGTGCCACCAAAATTGTAGGGAATATGTGCCACTTGTAGTCCTCGCGTTAACGGCCACAATGGAGCCCCACATTTCTGTTGCTAAGCGAGACGCCCGTTAGGTGCACTTTGCCCCACGTTGCGACCTTTCTTGCCACAGTTGTTTAAGTGAATCGCTGCTGTCATTAAGTGAGTACAGAGGTTGTTATGTGAGTCTGGCTTCCCCATGGTCAAAAGGTCACAAAAGGGGATCGCGTCACCCCTCCCCCCTTGAGGGACTCTGTGACCGTCATAAAGAGGAGTCAGTTACCCAGCGCCTGACTTTTGATCACATGACCATGGGGAGGCCGCGACGGTCGTAAGTGTGAAAAACGGTCTTTTTTTCAGTGCCCTTGTGACTTCGAACGGTCACTCAACGAACCGTTGAAGGTCATACAAAGGATTGAGGGCCCAGGAGAGAATTTCTGAAGCCCCCCCCCCCGTGGAATCGGTCAGGGGTTTACCTAAGCCCACATCTGGTTTCCCTCCAGCCTCCGATCAATACTCAACATTCGTCTACTGGCATGAGTGCATCGGGGCTAAAATCTAGGCCAGCGTCCCCTCCAAGGCCTAACCCAGTTTCGTCCTCCCCACAACCTTGTGGGTCACGGGACAAGTCAATAATGGGGAGGGCAGATCTCCAACCCGCCTTCCCCTCCCGCGAGTCCCTTCTGCGCACGGAGGACAAGGCCCCGTCGGTCAAGGTCAGGGAGGAAACACCACACAACACCACACGCCTCGCATCTCCATCCTAACCTGCAGCAACGTTCTCGGACCCTTCAGGTGGACCCTCCATCGCAGGTCCAAAGATCTCCCTGTGGAGCACCAAGAATGGAGGGTCCATTCTGGTCCAGTGGGGGGGGAGGGGCTTCTCCAATTATGCCTTTGAGCTGGGAGGTGTAGAAGATGCTGCTCGCTTTCCTTTCCATGCCTTCCCATTCACACATGCAGCCTCTTCCTGTCTTTGGAGAACCTTTCCCTGCTTCCTTAGCAGGTCCAGGCCACCCACGTCAGACCCCGAGAACGACCAGCAAGCTCACATTCGGCTTAACCCAACTCTTCATGGGTACATGCAAGGCCTTTCTTTCCTTCCTTTCCTTTCTCTTCCTTCCTTCCCTCTGTCTCTGTCTGTCTCTTTCTTTTCTTTCCTTTCTTCCTTTCTCTCTTCCTTCCTTCCCTCCCTCCCTCTCCCCATCTGTCTCTCTCTTCTTTCCTTTTCTTTCTTTCCTTTTTCTTTCTCTCCCTTCCTTCCTTCCATCTTTTTTCTTTCCTTCTTTCCTTTCTTCCTTCCCTCCTTCTCTCCCTCTTTGTCTGTCTGCTCTCTTTTCTTCCTTCCTCTCTTCCTTCCTTCCTTGCCTCCCTTTCTCTCCATCTGTCTCTCTCTCTCTCTTTCTTTCTTTCTTTCTTTCCTTCCTTCCTTCCTTCTTTCTTTTCTTTTTCTCTTTTTTGCAAGCTGGCCAAAATAAAAAATATGATCCCCCTCATCCTGCCACCATTCCAGCATCTCTGCTGGTCCTATGTGAAAAAGTTTTTTTTCCCCCTTCTTCACTAACAAACAGGGGGTCAGTCCTTCATGGGAAAACAGAGGGAGAAGGAAAAATTTGTGATTTGGGTTTTTTATGTTTAGAAAATTGAATTAAAAAAAAAAAATACCTAAAGGGAAGGAGGCTTTAAGTTAATTTCTTGACATGGTTAAATCTTGTGAAATCTCTATTTTGGGGGTGCGTTATGCTCAGGTTATATGAATCTCGATTGATGGGTTTTTTTGAAATAGAGAAGTAGCTGCTAATGCAGATCTGATAAAAGCATCTTTCTAGGAGTTATTTCTAGACGTCTCTGTTTGGGTTTTTCTTTGTCTTGTTCCACAATCTATTTTCCTTCGTATCGACCAAAATATCCTCCCTTAAACTCATCCTTCTCCATCCTGTCTTAATGTTTCTTCGGAATTTCTTTTGTTGTTGTTGATTTTAAAAAAAACTGTTGCAAAGATATTTGGTTCAATAGCAATATTTGGAATTAAGGTGTTTTTTTTTTTCCTTTTTGTGTTGCTAATGATGGAGGCTTTAGGGTTTTAAGCTTCTCGCAGAGTTTCTAAAGGACAATATTTAACTGGGATATAAGAAGGGAAAAGTTAAGGCTGTGAAATATTATTTGGATGGTCGTTGGCAAAATTTAGCCTACCATCTGAGTCAGGTGCTTTAACTTTCTAAATGAGGGAAAGAGAAGTTTCTTTGATTGAACAAGGACCAACTCTGATCTAATGAGGAATTACAAAAACAGAGATTTCTGATACGTTCCTGCAAGAGGGGGAAATGAAATTTAAGGAAAAAAAACAACTTTTTTTGGGTGGGGGGAGAAATGCAATATTGTTTTTACAGCCCGCAGAAGGAGCCAAGTTAGTGTTAGCGCATTTGAACTCCAAGTCCCAGAATTCCATGCTGAATAGGGAACTCTGGGAGTCGAAGTCCACACATGCTGGCTGGGGAATTCTGGGAATTGTAGTCCACCCATCTTAAAAGTGGCCAAGGTGGAGAAAACTGATCTGAAGGGACCTTGGAGGTCTTCTAGACCAACCCTGCTTGTTTTCTTCTCCATGCTCTTCCCTGTTAGTTTCCCTAAAGGTGGTCTCTCCAGAGACCACGTCGCATGTGCTGGAATCTACTTGCAAAAAAAATTAGAGGATCCGCCTGCACCCTGATCTATTCAGGCAGGTAAATCCACTAGATCACAATTCTGCCTGCTTTCATGCAGCGGGCAGTTCCAAGGTTCCCTTTGGAGGAGATTCCCTTTCAATGAATTCCCACCGAAACTGGCTAGAAAAAGCAGTGAAATCACACCACTGTAATTCAAGAGGTGCGGTTGTGTGATCCGGTGGTAATCGATCTCTGGGGGATCTCCTAACAGGCTGAGCTGGGAGGAGACCCACTGGCTCCTGACGAGGAACGCTTTAATCTTAGACTCTCTTGCTTTTCCCGAAAAAGAAATGAACCCTAAGATGTTTTTCAAAAAATATTGGTTCATTTCCTGAATAAGACACATCTTCCCTGCCTCCAAAAAAAATTCACTTCTGCAGCATCTATTTCCAAATTCACCTTAAGGTAATAGCATCTTGTGGCTAACTGTGAGCAAGCCAAGGCAACTTTTTTTTCCTGTTTTTAAGCAAAACAAATCGCTTCAAAAACTGCGCTCTGCAAAATTTCTGCCGGGGTTTTAAAGTGCTCGTAGATCTATTTGAGCCTCTTTCCCCCCCCCGACAAGTCCAGAAAAGCAAGTTTCATTGGCTTTTTATATAAAATGTCCATTCCACTCCTTTTTTTCCCCTCCTTTTTGCCTCCTCTAACGCTGGGGACCGACCGCGAGCAATTCATTTCAAGCTTTGAAATGATCCCTGAAGGATGGCCATCTGGTGCCTCAGGTCGAACGAGAAGCCAGAAACACGATGCTTTTAACTTGGGTCCAGCTCAAACGGTGATCCGTGCAGTTATGCAGTTATTCCTTCCGAGAGAAGCCTCCACAAGTTGTCTGAGGTCTATTTTTGAGGTCATATGAAGAAAAGGGGAAGCTTAGCACTTTTAGGCTCAATTCACTCTAGAAATGGATAGCATTAAACTAAGGAGAAGATTTAGAACAAGCGTGACCGGTTTTGTGTTCCAAAAACCCTGAATCTGGGAGGGGAAAAAAAAAAAAAAGCCCCACGCTCGCCATGCACGCACAAAAATATGGCAATAAAACCTGCCCATTTTTTTAGCTCAGGGACCACTTCCAAACCGGCCCACCGGACTGAACGCAAAATGCACATTTTAGTGGGTCTCTCCCCATTCAAACCTCCAGAGTGGCGCTTGCTCCCATTTTTAATTATTGCTAAAGCCCTTACACCCCCCCCTCCCCAAAGATAGGGGTGAAAAGCAGAACCTGGGAAGGTCACCTTGCGTGGATTAAAATGGCTAAAACCGTCTCCTGAAATTTAAACCAGCGACGACGGCTTCGAAGGCTTTGCCGTGATTTCGAGGGGGCTTGCTTTCTGAGAAAAAGAAAGGGGCGATGCATTTGGGCTGATGAGTCGGGGGTGGGGGTGGGGGGGCACTGGGGTTTAATTGATGCAGTCCAATTCTACGGAGGAGGGTTTTAAAAATTTCCCGGGGATGACAAGGTGGGGTCATAACCGAAGGGCAGGAAGGCTAAAGAGCGTCATTAATGAAATTAATTGGGGGTGGGGGCTGCTTCAGACCCACCGGGGCTCATCCAGGCCCAAGGGTGACCTTCTCAACCAGGCTGCAAATGTGCAAAAGGCCATGAAGGCAACCTGGCCCCCTCGGCCACGGGTCAGACAGAAGCCAACTTGGAATCGGAGGATGGAAATGGCCCTGCTCGAGATGACCCTCTCCGTTTGGCAGAGATTTCTTTTGTTCCCCTCTCCCTGGCAACGTGAAAAGGGGGGGGAAGTGGAAGGAAGGGAAGAATCCCCCCCCTTCTCTTCCAGACATCCCTTCAACCTACGGAGGATCTTCATGTAAGAGCATCATTGATTTTTCTCAGGCACAACCAGCCACCAGCTACCCAACAGTCAACTCCTTCTGCCCTTCCCTTGGGCTTTCCGTTTCAAGCAGAACATTGATTTTTTATTTATTTTTTTGTGGGTGGGTGGGGGGAGATATGAGGTTGCAATTGGCCCCACAGTGCCCCTTCTTGGTTTTAACCCTGCCGCTCCCCAATCATTTCCCCCCCCCCCAAACCCACAAAGAGGGGGGCGAAAAGCAGCTGATTAAATTC